ACAGAATTGATATTCTGGTTTCCTCCAGGCATTGGAGCTGAGTAAAGTTTGTTTTAGTGAGATTCTTGCAGTTCTGGTAGGTCATACAGGATTAATGTGGGAGGACAGAAGTATCCAACCCACTTTAATATTCTCTGCCAGTTTGCCCTTTGCATCCAACCCCGTTGAGGCTGGTTACTTTCTTGTCTCCTTTCACAGCCACTTCTCCCTGTCTTGTCTGTGATTTGTTTCTTCTCTGGTATTGTTCTAGGCTCTACATGGCAGCTAGTTATAAGCTTGCGTGGTCAGTTCCAAAAATATGGTAAAATAGAGGACAAATAATTCTAAAGTGGTGGTGTCGTGGTTTAATCCTTGCTGGGAATTAAGTATCGCACAACATCTCAGTTATTCCCCTCGATTCCTCGGCCAGTGGGGAGAAGAATGGGAAGAAAATCTAAACCATGCAGGTTGACAGAAAAACTTAATAATGGAAAAAAATAAACCAACAMTAATAGTAATAATATACTAGAGAAAACATAAACATAAAATAGTACTGATAATACAATATGAACTAAATATGCTAATAACAGTAATAATGATAAGGAGAAGGAAAGAGAGTAGCAAAACCCAAGAGAAACAAGTTGGTTGGTCAGAATCTGTGGACCGATGCCCAGCTTGTTCCCCAGCAGTGACTGGGGAGTACTTTGCTCTGATAAATTGGAAACTGGACGTTACTGTTTGCTGTGTTTGCAGATGTCATTATAAAAGAATATCTAGAAGGTTTATTACATAACTACATCAGCAATAAAATCAAGCTCTGTATAYAATCACTGTTCAAAGAGCAAGTCTTTCATTTTCTCAGTGTTGAGAAGGAAAGGTAATTGAGAATCTCTTTCGCCTTTGAGGTGGAAGGAGCTTGCTTTGTTTGGTTTTTTACTTTTTCTTCCCCATCAAGTTTCRTGGTATGCTGGATTCCCCATCACATTTTTATCTGGTTTTCACCTACTGTCTTTGATAACTGAGTGTTTGTCCAGTTCACTGACCATCATATTTTTCATGAAACGCGTGATAGTTTTTGCATGCTATCTCTAGAAGCTCACAGATCGTCACTAGTCRTATATGTAATCAGGAGCTGTAACTCAGATTTTCTAAGGTGTTATCTTCCTGAAGCAATTATTGTGTCCCAAGTGATAGCCTCCTTTGCATTGAAAGTCACCTGTTAATCCCTCTTTTAAGGTTTAAAGTAAGGTATTAAAATTGACTGTTCATGTCCATGTAGATCAGATATCTCAAATAATATTTAATAAAATTACATAAAAGAACCCTTTTCTTTCATTGCACGATATTTGATGGGAATGTGTGAAGGCCTRCTAGACTTAGTGATTGGGCCAAGTGGCAGGGTTTCTGTGATAGGATTATAGGMGGGACCTTTAAAGGTTAAATAGTCCAACGCTCCAGCTTTGGGAAGGAACATCTTCAACTAGATCAGGTTACGCAGAGCCCAGCCTGACCTTACTGGTGTTGGAGCATCTATCACTTCTCTGGGCAACCTTTTCAGTATTTCACCACCCTCGTCATAGAGTAATTTGTCCTTATAGGTAGTATGAATCTAAYATCTTTCAATTTAAATCTCTTACCCTTTGTCCGGTTACTATGGGGCCTATTAAAAAGTTTGCCCCCATTGTCCCTTTAAGTAATGAAAGGCCACAGTGAGGTCTCCCTGGAGCCTTCTCTTCTCCAGGCTGGACAAACCTAACTCTCCCAGCCTTTCCTTATAGGAAGAAAGTCCTCTGATCATTTTTGTGGCCCAACTCAGAACCTACTCCAACAGGTCCCTCTCTTTCTTGTTCTAAGGACCCTAGAGCTGGATAGTTCTAAGAGTTGTAGGTCTCAGGAGAGTGGAGTAGAGGGRGAAGATCATCTCCCTGAACCTGTTGGCCATGCACATTTCTGACTTATGTCCAGCCTCTCACCCCAAGTCCTTCTCAGCAGGGCTGCTCTTGATCTGTTTTTTCCCTGGCCTATGTTGATAGGGGGGATTGCCCCAACCCAAATGCGGCACTTGGCCTTGTTGAACCTTATTAGATCCATACGTGCTCACAGACATGACTCCGTATGGTGATTCAAGAAGTGAGGGGAAAAAACCCAAGAATTGTAACAGGGAACAGGAATTAATTTACATCCTTGTGGAACTAACAATGGGGACTGCCACTGCAAGCACTCAAGAAGTTGGAGCAGAGGAGCAGTTCCCACAGGGAGAGAAATCTTCCAGAGGGAAACACATCACAATGCACAGGAAGAGACTGTTTTAACAGCTGTTATGGAATAGCTATTTAGAGGTGCACACACACAAATTTACTTCTTTGTCTCCATAGCTGGATTCTGTCTGCATTGCCATATTCTTATTATTTTATCCCTTATGGAAAATGAGCTGTGCTTCCTCTAGAGTGGTTTAGCATACTGTAAATCTGAGAATGGTATAGAAGTTTAACTTCTRTGTAAATTTGAAAAGCTGTTTTGTGTATGGTTTTTTGAAGAAAATGTGTTACTTTAATATCTCTGGAGGATAATCTCTGAAGGATATATAAAGGATGTAGTTCTTTGTTKTTTAAGATTCAAATAAATGTTTTGCAGCATAAATTTGGCACAGTTGAAATGTAAAAGCAAAGACATTTATAATAAAATTTAAATGTATGTGAAGATAAAATTCATGTGAGTTTAAGTCTTTCATTTTGTTCTTTGATGTCTGCCATGAAAAACATTATTGTCCTCAATGGCAATCTTGCATGTGTGTGTATAGGAGGGGAAAAGAATTCAGATAGGGTACCTGAACCTGAATGACACTTTCGACCTTTTTGTCTATGTGAAGTATTGGGGAAGTATGATGATGAAATTATAGATGAAACAACAGAGAATGCGCATCTTGTTTCTCTGTGTTTCAGAGATCAGCTTAGTCATCTTTCTTTTTCGATCTTTATAGTGGTATTATCTGTATACACTTTTATTTAGTCAAAGAGATGCTTCATATATCAAGATACAAAATTAATCTAAAAAACCCTGATTAATGTGCGCTCTGAAGACCTTAATTATGTTGCTGTTGCTTATTTTAAAAGAATATTTCATGTCTGTTGCTGAAAACCTGTTATAGTAGTAGATCTGAAGCGGTTTTTTGGATTTAGCTATCATGCAGCAAAGTTATTTCAATTTTTTTATTTAAAGGTATCATATGCAAAATTAGAAGAAAGTTTTCATTGTCTATGCTTGATAATTTTATCCTTCTAGCATCTTGAACTTCTTTAAGCATAAGCATCCATGATAACATTGCAGCCTTTTTTTCTTTTAGCTGTAAAGTATTATTTATTATTTCTTGTTTTCTATGTTGCCGAGTTGAAGATTCAGACTYAGAGTTGTCGCTGTATTCTTTAAACAGTACTGCCATAATTCAGAGACTACTGGTAAATTCGATTTTCTGGCAAAATAGTGAGTTGATGTTTAGTCCTGTTATGGTTTTTTTTAATGTTATTTTTATGTGTGAGGTTTTTTCCCCTCACTCACCCACTCTGATTTTCACCTAGTGTTCTGGCAATCTATGATGGCTTCTTGATTTTCTGGAGAAGCTGTGGGTTTTTTTAAAGTAGCTGTAAGAAAATCTGAATCAGAAGTACAGAAGTCACCTCTCTCTGTTTTATATGCTACTCAATAATTTATTCATGTGCTTTTGGAACATGGACATCATTCATTATTATTCATTGGTTGCAGATGAACTAGATCAGTAAACATGCTGTGMGAGCTCAATTTTTGACTCTTCCTGGATGTCATTGGTTTTTTYTTTCCTAATTGAGTGTCAGTTTCTTTTCTTCCAGAGTAAATGAAAGAAATTAAATAAAATTCTCCTAGGTGCCTGTACTTCAAATTAATGTTAAATGGCATGCTGGAGTGTTTACATGACTTTCCAAAGGTATGAGGAGAATCGGGCTATTAGGCACTTGASTTTTTGAAGGTCCTTCTCTGAGGAGAAGACTTTCAAAATTTCCCACCGCTACATGGATTGTCTTTTATTGTAATATACACATATAGAGGRTATTTACTGGGAAATTACTTTTAAATGCCACTAAAGCATGAATGGTTGTACATTATGTTAAAAAAAATGGTTGATGTGTCTAACATTTATGTACTCTGAAGCTGCAAGAGCTCTTGTAAACTGTCTTTTCCCATGTGCACATATGAAGTGCTTTCTACAAGGCTTTCCCTAGGAGGAGGATAGTAGCGGCAAGCACTAGGGAGATACCTTCCAAATAATACAATCAAAATTATTTTTGCAAACTCATCTGCATAATTTTAAAATAATATTAATTTAAAGTAAATTATCAAATAACTTTAACCAGTACAAAAGCTTGTTCTGGAGTGGACAGATTCTTCTCACCAAGAGTGCAAGGAAGAAAAGAGTTTTCCCCTGTGGACTCTGGTGCCTGTGGACTCTGGTGCCTGTCACTGTGTTAATAAAGCACCCTGGACTGTACAGGGTACTAGTAGTGCATAAACCAATTAGGGTTTAGAGGCATTGTGTTTTTCTCTTCCATCTGATAGTAGGGAATAATTAAGCTGGGAATATGTATGTCACTACGTTTCATCGTCTCACTGTGGGGAGCTGATGAACATTCTGTGGATCATGTTCCTTCTAAAAACTGAGTTTGTTACTTGCGTTGATTGAGAGAGTGWATATGCACATGAATATATGGAAGTACTTGAACACCCTGGTCACTTTCAGTAAGAAGAAAATGCAGTGCCAAATTTGCTTTTCTAAGAATGWAATACTGTTATTAGTTGCGAAGTTTATTGTGAAAACAAGTATGCTAAGCTCTGTTAATCTCTTYGATGGCTATAAAATATAAAGCTTTTTAAATCTAGTATGTACAGTAAATATGAGGAACTAATTCTGTTTTCTATTTGGTAGCATTTTTTTCACTTTTGAAAATTCCTTGACATTGAAGTAAAAGATGATGTTTTCCTTTCTCCCACAGATCCAGACATTCAATGTTGAGGCACCATGCCAGACTGTAGAAGATTTAACGAGTGGGGTTGTGATGGCCCAGGTTCTTCAAAAAATGTAAGTAATTGTTACTTAATGAATTAAATATAGAGGGTTTTTTTCTGTACATTTTTGCCTATTTACATGTATTTTAGTTCAAACTTGGCTGGTATTCCATAAGTATGTGGCTTASATGCTACTTTAAACTGGAACTAAATTTTTTTTCTCCATAGTTTTCTGATAACTGTCTTAAATGAAAGAAAAATTATGTTTTAGGAAAGTGTTGATTCAAGTATGAACTTACTGGAAATTTATTGAATTAAAATTAAACTTACAGATTCACGGTTAAAATTGAAATCAGTGCAAGGTAAAGTAATTGGTCCTGGTTGTTGTTTGGAAGTATCATCAGTAGTGTTACAATTGGTGTAATGTAATAGCACTTCTGCAATAAATTGAATGGAACTTGGTTTTTGCAGTAGTTTGTAGTTGGACATACTTGCTCTTCRATTTGTTTCCATTACCCCATACCTGTTCAGTAGACACCACTGAGATTATGTGTGCATATAAAGAAGAGGGAGACATCAGGTTATTTATACACAGGATTGGTAAGATCCTACTGAGCCTTTTCTTTCTGAGGCTAAACAAACACAGCTCACTCAGTCTCACCTCATATGACAGAAACTGCAGTCTGTTAATCATCTTAATTGCCCTTTGCTGAACTTGCATGAATGTCCAGGTGTCTCTCATACTGGAGAGTCCAGGATGCAGTGCTTTGGATATGGTAATAACGGATCTCAGCAGTACCTTCCTTGGCCTGATGGCAGTGATCGTCTCACCRCAGCCCAGGCTGTGGCTGGCCTTCTTTGCTGCAAGGACATGTTGCTGGAGTGTCTTCTGCTTGGTTTCTACCCAGTTTCTTGTCTGCAAAGCTGGTTTCCAACCAGTTGGCCCCCAGCATATATGATGATTACTGGTTAATGGGGTTTGTTTGCATTTACCTTTTCTGATGTATGTAAGGTTCCTCTCAGTGTGTTTTTCCAGTTTGTCAAATTCCTTCTAAATAGCAACACAGCTGGTTGTGTATTACACACTCCTTCCATTTTTATGTTATATGAAAAAATGCCCTCTGTTCCATCATCCAGGTCTCTATTAAACACATTTAATAGTATTGACCCCTTGAGTATGTTGCTGGTGGACTGGCTTCCAACTGGATTTCATGCTTCTGAAACCTCTGAGCCCGGCTTTTCAGCCATTTTTCAGCCCACTGTGCTATCCAGTTACCCCTATTATGCTTCATCAGTTTTTTTTGTGAAGGTCAGGCAGTCTATAGCAAGAATCTGTAACTGTGTCACTTATATTGGTCTGCTTAGTCATCCTGACCAGTAATCTCGCAGCTGGCTTGTATCCATCCTAAGACAGACCTCATGCATTCCCACTGCTCTCTCACAGGAAGGGCGTCTCCCTGTCATTGCTTTTTCAGCTTTTTCTTCCTAAAGARCCTGTATTCATTCATGGCAGCAGCCTTGGCGTGTGAACCATCCTACCACAACTTTATGGTCCCCATGAGACTGACCGTGTAACTACATACAGAACTCTGTTTCTTCCATTTTGTTMTCCATGCTGCATGCATTTGTGCAAAAGCACTCCACATATGCATTCAGTCTTTCTGATTCCCAAGAATAAAGCTTTCCCCRGATTGTTCTTTTTTAGGCCTTTCTGTATTTATGTGCATGTTCTTGGGGTGATCCCACTTCACCCAGCCCTGTTTTGTTGACTATGAGGTGACTTTTGTTCGCATCATTCCACACCCTTAGTTTTTCAAAGAGTCCCCTGCTTTGTTATTTAATGTTTCTTTTTCTGTTGTTTCTTGTATATAACTGTTCTTACAGCACTGGCCAGCCCATTGRTGAAGGTGTGTCTGCCCACCATAGTCTGGTGGATCCCATCTCTTTGAAGCAGTCCTTGATTCTCAAAAGGGTTCAATGGTTACCGAAACCTAAACTGGGTTACCAGCCCTAGATCACAGCTGATTGTTGATCTGCAGCACCTGTCTGCWCCTCAAACCTGCTCCTCACTAACTGGTACAACTGGGGAGAACACCACTTGAGCCCTGACCATAGTTTCCAAAGCCRCATAACTTGGCACTTTGTAGGTTTCCCTAGCTGTACTGCCTGTGCCCAGGTGGAAGAGCACTTGTATGATGTCATTCAGAAGATGAGGGTCCTCCATCCTGTRCTGGCCCTTAGCACTTCCCTTGTGTGCTGCTGCATAGCTCAGGTTTACTGAACACAGCTGATTTGTTTGACAGAGCTCTTAGGGCTGTAACTGGTATGAGGTCACTGAGTCTGTTCTGTAGTTGCAGATCCTCAGGATCAAGGGCCTCCCTCCTGATGAGAGAAGGAGTTGGGAGGAAAAATAAAAGGATTCACGGGGAGAATAAAAAGGGAGAAAAGAGAAATCTCAATGTAATCAAATATTTTGTAGCAAGACTTTTTATCATGGTTCTGAGATGCTGCTTTCAGCAAATGAACTGGTATTTTTAAAGATATATACAATACAAATACTGCATTTCTGTAGCATGATTTTTAAATATTTCCTGTGACAACTGCCATGCTGACATTGAACACATGAATTCTTCAGTTTTTTCCAGTTTATGTTTTAAGATCACCTAAACAATTTATAATTCTTTCTTTATGCCSTATATAATAATCTGAACATGCCAAAATAGTATTTGACTATCTTATGATAGTTGTGCTTCAGCTTTAACATTTTGCATACTTATGTAATGAATAGATGTATTCTCATGCTGAAATTTAGCAACAGTATTGCTAAWTTTTGACTCCATTCTGTTGAGGGAATCTCTGAAGAGCAGCAGCAGTTTGATTTTGGATTGTACGACAGGAATTATACCATATGAACAATCTTTGAGAGGAAATAGCATTGGGTTTTTTTTGTTTCTCTTTGTAAAACAGAATAAACAGTAGATACGTAGTATGAGRTAAGTGCAACAGAAAATTAGTCTGGTGATTTTGAAGTAGAAACCAAGGGCTACAGAATAGCCAAACACTGTCTTTTTCCCTGGACATGAGAGATTGGAATATAGGTCAAATACAGGAGCCAGCATTTCTATGGCTGAGTAGAAAATGGATCAGGACCATGTTGACAAAGCCGTTTTAAATATTCTTTTTTGAAAACAAAACCATATTCAACACTAGCAGTGAAATCTCTGTTTTGCTCCTTTRAACAGATATAACAAGAATAATACTTAGCTGTGAGCCAGGGAATGTTCAACAATATGAAGTAAATCTTGAGCAGTCCTTTCTATTTATATTAGCAGTACTGGTTCCCTCTCTGTCCCAAGAAAGATAGACATGTAGAAAACAACTTTTGCAGGTGTAGAAGTGTACAACTGGAAGACAGCTGTGTTTTTAAGGTTATTTGGAAAAGCTGTGTAGGGACTTTAAAACAAAGAACAAGCCTGAAAGCACCAGGTCCCTGGAAACATATCATTTGCAGTGAAGACTTTAATAATTGTGTATYGGACGTGAAGATGTCTCAAAAACTTCTTCAAAGGGCAAGTTTATTGTTTTGACTGCAGGCACAACTTAAATGCTGTTTCTCTTATTCTATAGAGAAGGGTGTATTATTTTTTAACTTGTGTTCCTTAAAATTTGGGTGTTTTTCACTATAGCTGTCACCTGCTGAAGGTTCTTAATATGTATGTGTTCTTTGAGCATAATAATACTAGGAGGTGAATCAGGTAAAGGTAGGGAGGGAAAAATTCTGGTAACTTTTGTGTGCATCAGGATTTTAGTATAATAAATTAATTAGTGTTTTAAAATCACTGAAAAAGCAGGTTAAGATATCCAGTGAGGATTAAAAAAAAAAAAAAGAAAAAGAAGTTTCATATGAGTGAAGAAAATATTGTCAATGAAGAAGTCAAATTAAATAAAGAAGATCATTGTTGAAAATTTAAAAATATTGTAGTGGTATAGTGATCTGGATGTATTTCCATAGAGGAGTGAGAAGTGAACTCTTATTTCCTTTTTTTTTTTTTTTTTCTTTTTTTTTTTTCCCCACATCTTCCTTCATAAGAAGAGCCCACTGGTACTTATGAGGACAGGGGATAGTAGGTTTTGATGAGGAACAGCTTTTGAGAGATCCTTTGTTCAGGGAATTGGTTCTTTTAGGCATAYAGAAAATTTGCACAAAACAGAACTGTAGGATTTATTGTCAGAAAAAGGAACAAAAGAGGAAAGAGAAAAGGAAGACCTTTGCTTGTTCCTCAGCTGATATAAATCAGCCATACGTTGTGCYAAGTGTCCGGAAGGGGCTAACAGTTTTTTCTGTGGTTCTTAATTTTTCATACATCATTCTCACTATTTTTTGCRCTCACAGGAGACACCATTTGTAGTTGTGCCAGTGATCACAACTAATGTAGCAGAATTTTCTTTACCAGAACTGCTGGAAAAAGCTGTGAGAAGGAAAGATTACAGAGGAAATAACTGACACCTTCAGAAGCTTTTCACTATTGATGYAGTGTGTGACAGCAAATAGCAGAAATATGTTCTGTGTAACCAAGCATGAATGTTTTGCTTAMAGTCTCAGCTGTTAAAAAACGGGTTAATGCCTGAAGAACATTTCTTTCTTTGTAGCATTAAAACTTTATGTTCAAATTTGAATGTGATTCTCCAGTGCTAACTGTATTATCTTGGAATAAGAAATTCAGCTTATGCTTTAGCTTATCTTTTGTGTGTTACTCTGTAAGAGTCACTGTTTGTRTTCAGCTGTGGTGGTTACTGGTCCCTCTAACTAGCGCTGATAGGAAATACAGTAAGATAAAATGCCTGTATGTAATCAGTGTTGATTATTTTACAGAACATTGTACTCCAGGAGTAAGGAGTGGAAGCAAAAGAGAAGGTCTAAACTGTTTATAAGCAGGATGTTTGCCTGAAATCATGTAGCTTATGCTGCTAGAAGTGCCATAGCTTGCTTCTGAATCACATCCTTTTTCTTTGTAGCCTGCATTGGTGTTACTTATGTTTTCACCGTCCACTGATATCCCTAGAATAGCATGATTTCCCATTTTGTACTAAGTTTTAGAATTTTCCTTTCATCTCACTCTACAAACTGTTTAGTACCAGGTTTCCCTCTTGTTTTGATTCTTTCTTTATCACACTGGCCTTGTAAATGTAAGAAGTGGTATATATTTTCTTTTTTCATCTGTGCATTGTGCACCTTCAATGAATTATTCCATATTTATTRCATTATACATTGCAACACACCTTGTATGTTTTGACACATAGAGAACACAAAAACCATGCTTTTGTACATCACTGAGGGAGGGAAATTTTTGTAAAACAGACGTTTCTTSAAACAGCTTACTGTACCACTGTAAAAATGAGTAATCATCATGAGTTATACTACATGCTCTGTGGGTTGGCTTTTCTTCAGAAGAGTATTTCTGTCTCTTGGCATCTGTGATGCGAAGAGATGATTGCTTAAATAAAGGAAAATTTGCATACAAAATAAGATGGAGATGTTGTAAATGAGCACTGCTGAAAACATCACATGAAGTGATGGAGCATTAACAACAGCATAAGTATCTTGTGCTCTGAAGTAAAGTCCTAGTTATCTGCAGTACTACTCACATAGTAGGCAGCAATCAAAGGATATGTGAATACCTTTCTAAATCTGAAAGTTAGCCAGTGCAAGAGATTGTATAAGTTTGGATCTAGGCTCAGGACCTTACTGAATTCAAAATACTTAGTTMATGAACAAGTCACCTCATGGTAATGATGATGCTCCAGTCAATTTTCTGATAGTTTAGCTGCTCACCTCTCAGCCACATGTTTTCATATTTGCTTAGGTRATGCTTTTTCAAACACTATAAGAATAATGCTGTGGTTTCCTAATAAAATGGACTAAGATGGTTTAAAAACTCTGAATTTGACTGAATCCTGATTTCCAAAAATCAGCAGAGGGAAGCTTGTTTGCAGCAAGGGCCGTGTATGACCTAACATGTGGAAGCGCCTTTTTAAAAGTACTTTTAGAAATTTTTGTGGAAAGGTTTTTTTTTCAGGTTTGATTTCCAATAGTTTGTTATACAGAGAGGGCATTGCTGCTGGAATTAGTAATGATACCATAAAGTAATGAACTTTAAATAGACTGTTGAAAAGAAAGGAAATTATAATGGTATGTGATTTATGGAAGGGATGATCATTCTTGATTTACATTGTGTTGATACCAAACCTGTTGCTTTTCTGCATATTGTATATTCCTGGCCAAGCGTTTTTGCAGTGTTCAGTTAACTAMTGCATAACCTGTATGGAGTTTTTCTAAAAGAGTTGTTGGTGCTATTTTGACTGCTGTTACATGGTATTGATTTCAAGTGGATTGCTTATCAGCTGCTGGACCCTTGGCTGCTTCTTTGGGGTTTGTATACCTACAAATAAAAAAATGAAAGGGATCTGTGGAAGAGGACTACCTCACTGAGTTTAGATTTATTTCTCAGGGACCTTTCTTACGTATGTCTGATGGCATATATAAGGGTTTAGGTAGCCTCTGACTTCCATCAAAACTGTAAAAGACAGTTGCTGGTCCATGTGTTATTTTTATTACAGTAACAACAGCATAARTATCTTGTGCTCTGAAGAAAAGTAGTAGTAGCTGAGAAAAGCTGCTTAGTTTCTATTGAAGTACAGGCTTCCAGAATGAAGTGAGTTGGGCCTAACTCTGAAATTTTACTGTTCCTCAGCTGATGCCCTTGTTGATGCCCTTGTTGTTGGGGCATCAAATTGGATGTCATRCACAATATCAGCTACCCTGTCAGACGTAATGTAATTTTTCTTGTGAAGTGTTGTTTATACTTACCCATGTTGTTTATTACAGTTGTAATTTACCAAGAAAATGATATGTCAAGGATTGATGTTGTCATGGTGCTGCAGCCTTGAAACAGCTGAACATGTTAGTGACCAAGTGCAAAGCTTAAAATGGCAAGATACAATCTTTAAGGAAGAATAGTTGCATTTTTTTGATGGTGAAGCACAAGTCATACATACTTTCTCTCTCAGCTGCCTAAATTTTTAATTGTGAGTCTGCTGTTAAGCAAGCTTACTTGTGTGTTGGCAATTCCCAGAWGACTCATTTGAGAGTCACTAGCATGCCTTTTGAACTCCACACCTAAAATGGGATTTGAACTGTCTTTTTATTATTTTCCAGATTATTTCATTATGGTTGGGTGGAAGATAGGCAAATTAAGATTTTTTTATTAAGGCTTTTTGCAAGGAGAGCTATTTGTTTCATGTAAAAGCTGAATGTCCTCATATGTCAGAGATCTTACATCTATTTGAATCAATGTAGTTCTTAGGTTTACTTGTCTTCTCATGGCAGGGAGACCATTCAAAAGCTACTTGAAAACATTTAATTCCAAACCAGATGATACTCTGGATAACATTGTTTTTTCTGCTTTGCAATTTAAGATTCCATCATCTGTGCTAGAACTGTACTGGTTTTGAATGGAAGTAATTTGGAATAATCAATTTAACTAGTAATTAAAGCTGTTCTTCCAGATATATGTTTGCAGATGCCATATCAAAGGAAAGGAAATACGCTGTAATCTTCACCACAATCTGTAACAAAGTGTGTAAAAATAACGATGCTAATGTGTCAGTAGAGAAAGGTTGCTGTTTGTGATCTTTCTGCATTGCTGTGTATTGTAGTTGTAATACAGCTTGCAGACCTTGATGTGTTGTGAAGACGCTGTGGGAAAGACACTAGTGGAATACAGCATATACTGTGAGTCAGCATATACTGTGCTCTAATAAAAGTACTGATGTAATTGCTGGTTTACAGTATATATGATATAGATGTTATTTGAMTCTCCAGCCATGTTCAGTTTTCTTGAAGTTTTGACAAAAAGTCTCATTGCATCTTGCCCTWAAGGAAAGAGCTCAGTCCAGAACCCCTCTATGTGTACAGGGTACAGCCATAAGTCTTATAGTCATTAGTGGCAAATGCAGCAGTCTAAGTCCAGAAAGTAGATTACTTCACTGGAAACTGTAACACAGACTCTTAAAAGACTTACGTTAGCAATAAAAAGGTGGGAGTTTTCACTCTGACAGTATTAAGTGTATATATTGGATGAAATACGAGCCTTTCGTTATGTTTGCCAACTCTTTTAAAATGAGGTATACGTAGTACRTTCTCTCTCCTTAATTTTGATCATAGCATTTTCAAAAATCTGTGTGATAAAGGGAGAATTTGACTGACCAGAGCAGTAGAATTTAGGATAAGTAGAATTAGATTTAGGTGATCTTTGTGCTTGGCAGCAGGAAAGTCTCAGAAGCTGTCTTGAAGAAGCAGCTTGCAGAAGGTGCTTGGAGAAAAACGAAGAGGAAGAAGTTGTTTATAGGAATAGAAGTGTACTCTGTGAGCAATAGGAGTTCKCTCTTCTCTATCTTGATTGCCTTGTCAAAAGTGCAGAAGATAGAAAAACTTCTGAGGAGGGTTGTTTACAAAAGGTTTTGTGTAGTGTTACTATGAAAAGAGATTTACAGAAACTGGTACTATTTGTTAGATGAAATAGAGAGGTGTATTCCAAGTAGTAAAATCTTCAGTGATACTCTTTAGCCCTTCTTGCTTTATCAAGACAGCAAATATATTGTTCAGTCTCAGGCTTTTATTTTAGAAGTTGAATAGTTGTAAGCAGTGTACAGTGGTAGGGATCCATAATAATGGATTTCACATAATATGTGAAAAAGTAATGATTTTTACCACTTTTAGAAATACAACTAAATATTGCGGCAGCACTAGAGGAGAAATTAATAGGTAGGACTTACAGACAGTAAATGAGCAAAATTAATTCAAAATACACAGAAGCTACCTCAAAAGCATGAGCTGCTCATGGCACACAAATGAAGCTGAGCTGTCAACAGGGTGCAAGATCTTAGAACAGTGAGTTAGTAACAGGTTTCTGAACTATGATAATCAGGCAATGTGTCAGATACAAGAGGTAGTCATTTAAATGAAATCAAATCTGAGATAGGAGCTTAATGACTAATGTGTACTCAGTTTCTRTAACCTGTTTCTAATGAATACACTTTTTGCCTTTCAGAGATCCAGTTTACTTTGATGAAAATTGGCTGAACAGAATCAAAACAGAAGTAGGAGATAATTGGAGGCTAAAGGTATTTGACTGACTTTGCTTGTCTGTGTATTTGTATTTCAGTTCTTAATACAATGTTGTGTCCAAATATTAGCACACTTCTGGAATAGGATCTTGCTTTATAGTACAGCATTTTAAATTTTAGACCATTTTAATTACAGTTATTTGTTTTTATGTTGTGTGGTCCTGTACAGTTTTAGCAAAGACACTTTGAATTTGGAAAAAGGTTTCAGTGAATTAAAAGGAAAGTATTAAAATAAATTTTATGCATCAATTGCCTCTCATTTTTAAAATGCTGAATGAAAGATTATTTTTTAATGCACCATGTGAAAGCAGCTTTTTTGAAAAACAGCTGCATACAAATAAGAGCATAATAAGCAATATATTTAAAGAAAAATGTCRAAGTGTTGCTTCCTTTTACTTTGTCAGCTTTTCAGAACTACTGAGGTTTAAGAGAGGAAATAATGCTTTTTCTGTGTTTGTACTCGATATGGTTTTTAACCAGAGTCTTATTTGTGGGTCATTTGTATGACTTAAATTGTAGTACTTTCCCTGCAAACATTAAGGAAATAGAATTTGCAAGAACTGTGAATGAGGAACATTTTGCTTTAGAATCTGAAAAACAGTCTCCCATACAGGTGTTAGGGTAGTTTTTAACAAGTTTTGTTCAGAGAATGATCTGTGAGCTTTTCTAATTTTCAACCTGACTGATTTGGGAAAAAGTAGTTATGGTTTTACTGTTAGTTTTTGTTTCCTCTTAAACTGTTTTGTTCCGGCCACCAAAAACCATTTTGAGTATCTGGGGAAGAGCTACAACTGTGAAATGCTCTAGTACTTGTAGGCTTGTCAACATYGCTTTCTGAATTGCAGGGAATGGTGCCTGAGACAAAGATAAAGCACACTGCTGCTGTTCATGTTTTGACTTGGCCAGCAAACTTATCAGCATGGTTTCTGCTGTCTGGCCAGCTGTATGAAGTCTGGAATGCTTTAGAATGTTTTGTCTACTAGGGCTGCCAGCTAAAATGTGGGTACACTAATGGGTATATATTGACTGACTGATGAATAAAAGACATGATCCCTAAAAAAGCTTTAGAACTCTTTTGGGTTCTGCTGCATGTAGAGTAGCTAATATGAATGAACTTTTCAAAGAATTATATGGAATTGCAAGTGAACAGCTGGATACAAGATCTRTCTTTTCTGTAAATTTTTTTGGGGGGGTTTTGTAAGGACCGTTGAAGTCTTGACTGTTATATGTGGAGAATAACAAATTGAGAACTGTTCATTTTAATAGCATTTCAGCTGATTGAAAATGGAGCAGCAGCTTCTGTAACTGTCATATGGAGCTTGAGAAATAAATATTTTTATGTCTCCCACCAATTTGGCTGATGCATAAGCTTAGCAGGTGTGAAAAAAAAAAAAAAAGAAAAGCTGAGCACCCTAGTAACTTCCTTATGTGACTGAGGTTGGAAAAACATCAGGTCAAATTTCAGTTTTTTGCTGATGTCATTCTATCTTGTTTTTCAGGTATCTGTGTAAACAAGAGCTAAAGATTGACTTTTTTGTTTAAAAAATATGTATAATAAAACTTCTTGAATACATTTTTATAGACCACTTCCCTTTTTCTTGAAGAATACTAAAAGGCACAAGTTTGATACTTTAACTCTTGTTTTTTAACCAGGAAAGTAATCCTATACTTTGCCAACTGCTCCTTATGTGTGAGTAAACATTATGAGTAGTCTAGTTTTCCAAATGTCTGTCAGCCAATCCTTCATTTATAGTCTGGCTTGTAGGAACATTCMGTCTGTGCATTTCTATTCATAGAATTGTTCAGCTTGGAAAAGATTTAAGATCATCAAGTTTACCAAGTCCACACTAAACCATGACCCTAAGCTCTGCCTCTACACATCTTTTGAATAGGTCCAGGAATAGTAACTTGACAACTTTTCTAGGCAGCCTATTCCAATGCTTKACAACCCTTTTGGTCAACAAATTTTTAATAATATCCAAACCATACTTTGCTGGTGCAACTTGAGGCCATTTCCTCTTTTGTCACTTGCTAATCGGGAGAAGTGACTGACTCTCATTTAACTACAACCTCCTTTTAGAAATGTATTAGTTACTAGATTTAAGACGTGGGCATCACACTTGCATGACTCCAGGATACAGCTTTCCCTTCGTATTTTAAGGAGTGCCATAAGAAATGATAATTAGATTATCTCACAAGTTGTGATAATGAGCCACATTATTTTGTTGTTGCTAAGGATGGTGGTCACTCTTTGCCTCTGATGCCATCTGGTATAACAGCACCACTTGTACAAGCTCTCAGTATCATGAACCACATAATAGAGCCAGTCTAGTAGGGAAAGTACATAAAAACAACCTAAAATGTAATGTGCTRAAGTCCTACTTTGTGAACTGTGGTTAAGATTAGTATATGCCTTGTACAGCCCTCCTAAGCAGAAAATTATAGAATCATAAAGTTGTTGATGTTGGGAAAGATTTTCAAGATTGAGTCCAACTGTCAATGTAGTACCATCATGTTCACCACAACCCATTATGTCACCAAGTGTTGTATCTCCATATTTTTTGAACACCTGAGTGGATGAYGCCTCTACTATTTTGCTAGGTAGTCTGTTCCAATGCTCTACAACCCTCTCCATGAATTTTTTTTACCTAATATTTAATTTAAAACTCACCTGGTGCAACTTGAGACCATTATGGCTTGTCCTGTCACTTGTTACCCGGCAGAAGGTAACAAATGTGTTACCTGCAAGAGTGATGTGATTGTTAATTTTAAATTATTTATTGTCCTGTATGGAGAAAAAACAAGAACATAAGGCTGAGCTGTTTTTGTTGATTTGTTTTTTAAAGCATTTTGCTTTCTGGTAACTGCAGTATTTTTGCTCTTGCTGTATCATTAAAAAAAAAAAATCACAGGGATGTTTTTATATTTTTGGTTTCAGGGCAAGTTGCCAGACTTGAGAGATTGAGCAATTCACAGGAGAGAAAAAGGGAAATGTTAAAACTTGGGGAACTTGCAAAGTAGGAACCATTCAGCAAGCATTCTGGTTCTTAGAACTGCCCAGATCTTTGTCTAGTGTGTTTAGTAGAGAAATGTTGTTTTTTCCTCAGGGTTTAAATTACTGGGTCGTAGCATACATCAGTGTACACAGTAGTTAGTGCTTTCCCTTGGGCAAYAAAAAAACTTATCTCTACTGAGTATCTGCAATTTTATGATGGTTTACAAAAAAAAAAAAGCAGCAATGACATTAACTCATGTACAATGAACACTTTAATATAGTCCAAGTTTAAATTGTGTACAACCAAGTGTTTCATGCTGAGGAGGATGACTACTTGAACATAATATCTTTATTGAAAATGAAAAGCAGCTTAGAAATGATATGCCAAAATTTTGCAGGATTGAAATTCCTTAATCAAGAAAAAGGTTACTGATTTGATACATACACATCAGTTTTAGCAATTACAGAATGAACTGTTGGTTGTCTGAGGGATGGCATAAAATTGTCAGACTTTCCCCCCTTCCCTCTTGTATTCAGTGTGGGAAGCTTAGGAAAGGAAGGAAACTTATTGTTCACCATGATTTCTGAGGTTTTCTGAACTTTTTCCTTTGGCATCCAGACTACAGCATCATTTTAAAGTACAGTTTTATTGATGTTTATAGTAGCAAGCTATGTTTGTTCCATTACTGAATAGCACATTCAACAGCAGGAGCCGCTAAACTTTCRGCACCTACTATAATTTGAATGCCATAATGTGGAAAAATGGAATGCCATTGAATGCTGTAATATAAGTAAACAAATCTGATTTCTGAGAATCAATTTTGACTCCCTACAGTCATATGTTTACTCTGAATTCTTCTAGAGTACAAGCTGATTTGACTGGTGGAATAGTGGAAGCCAGTTTCAGTATACAGTATCATTTTTGTACTGCTTTCTTGTTCTTTTGGAGGAGAAGGGAGCACTTTTTTGTGAGCAACCTTTTAGGGGTTTTTTATGCAATAGGGGTAGAAGCCTGTYATGTGAATGTTTTTTCTCCAAGTGAGAAGCAGAAATTATAGGTGTATTGGAAGCCAACATTCATTTCTGTCAAAAAGTTAATTAGATAGATTTAATTCTCTTTTAATATAACCTTAACTCCAAAGTCAACTATGTCTTCAAATGTAAGTTGAATGTGGGAGTGCTCTGAAGACAGAGCAACATTTAGTTTTTCTTTCCTTGTCATTTAACTCAAGGAAGTGTCTGTATACGTTTTGGGGATTCTTCTTTTGAAGAMGACAGTCTGAAGGGGGATCATGTAGTATTTCTATAAGTTCCATCTATAATCACTGACGAGACATGCTCCTACAAAATGCAGTTTAAATCAGAACCCAAATATCTGTGGTGAGAGTGATGCAAAAAATGCACACACACTGTCCTTCCCTTCTTTGGTGTGTGCGCACACCCTTACCCATCCTCACCCCCATGCACCCCTCACCTCACCTTTAACTCCAAACAGGGAAAAATGTGCCTTAATAAGATAYCTGAAGCTCATTGGTTAAGAATTCTTGTACCAYTTGAAAGTGTGCCCTAGCAACACTTCCAGAAGWTTGGAGATTTCATATGACAAGTGAGAATAAAAGAAAAAGGTGAGAAAAAATGAGCAACCATTAAGTCATATCGTGTTGGCAGATCACATCATCTCTGCTTTCACTCYGGGCAGTTTATCAAGCTAATGCTGTGTAACAAAGGTCAGTCTCATACTGAACACTGTGTGCTTAGTAGRTGAGGCTATACTATAGCCAATAGGGCTATTAACTAAGAGGGTGATGGTAACATCAGTAATAACCACACAACTCTCCTGTGGGTATTCGTGAATTTTATGCGTTCAAAGAAGAATGAGAATATTCAGGTTGCCTTTTGGATGCATTCGCTCAAAGCAGCTATCCTGTAATTCTTTATGTGAGACTGGGAAAGTAAAACAGAAAGGCCAGATGGAAAAGAGATTGAAAATGGTTAGAGATCTGTCAATAAATGCTTAATGGTCCATTTATTGTGAGTTGCAATGAATTTTGGAGGTGAAATAAAGCATAGTTTTCACTTATATTTACTCCAGTAAGTTTCATGTTCTTTCCAGCAGGAATATGGCTGCAGGGAATGGATGTTAAAAGGTGTTGGGAGGGTAGACTATATATGCTGTGTATGGAAAAGGAAGAAGTCAGGTTGCTGATGCCAGCAAATAGGCATCCAATGTGGTTATGAGCTGATGTCCAAATGATGATTTAGTACTTTATAATCATGATTGATACTGGAAATTCTCTCTCTTGTATTCTGCCATCACATAATTGTCTTTGTGAAAAACAGTTAGATTTTGCCTGTGTGCTTAAGAAAGTGRAAAGTAGTTCTGAACAACCATCACCTGCTGTGAATTAGAATTCTTAGAATTCTGATCTAATTRATCTTTAACTCTTTCTTGAGCTGTTGCTCATTTTCATTCAGCTGCAAGAGGTCTGCTTTCCTTATGCTTTGACCTCATAAATGTTACTGGAACTACTCAATTGAATTTCAAAGTACAAAATATTAGTGGTAGTTTCCTTATTATGATCTTCTCTTTGCCAGGGGTAGTGAAATCCCTGACAGTATATTCACTGTAAGTGAGTCAGAAAAAAAAAATTGAGAGTCCTCTGACTAATGGTGAGGATCATTGTAAAGCTTAAGTCAGTCTTAGTCTTAAAAGAAGTCTGTAAAGAAGCTGTTTGACTCTCACAATTGTCTGATTGTGTGCCAGTTACAAAGATGGTCCAGTTAATTCTTGGAAAAAAGCTCCCCTGATACTGTTGATTGACAGAAGAGTAAAACAGGACTGCAAATATTTCTTTTCAGTTGTTTGCTGTTCTTTTCTTTTAAGGATGCTGCCCTATATGCTAGTTTTCATGACAAATTTTGATCAATATTGGTTTTATTCCAGTATCTCAACTCTGAGCTCTACAAAAGTTACGTGGAGGAGGGTGACACTTTGTGTTTAAGGGATATTAATTAAAATGTGCTTACAAGAAGAGAGGAAAAGAAGTATTTCACAAGTGGACACTTTCCATTTGGTTTCTCATATTTTTGGGATTATGTTCAAGTTCAAGGTTCCTCACAATGTTCTCATCGGTAAACTGGACTTAAATTCTGCAACATGGCCGTTGCGTTTCTGTGGCTCTTTCTGCAGCAGACTCAGGTAAATTATAAACCCGAAGATTTTAATTAATCAAACCTAAAAATTATACTCCAATCAGTGTAGTATTCTTTGTGGTGATTTAACATAAAAATGAAGCTCTTTAATTTCTTTAAATTCTTAAATCTGTTGCAGACTCTGATTATRATTGTGCATTGCCTTTGAGTGGTGATTGGCCTTGGTTGCTTTGGGCAGACAGCTAGGAAATTGTTGTAGCTCTTGCAGRAACATGCTGTATTGTATGTGATAGTACAGAAAAAGCGCATGCTTCAGTGTAGAAGGTGTGAACTAGCTATTATAGGAGAGACAGTAAATGWTGCAATATACTTGCTATAAGTAGCATCTCTAGTTCTCAGTCTAGCTGGTCAGAGTATTTGATGTGTTACTTTCCAAGTTCAAATGAGTTTTTGTTTCTTGTATGACTTAAAATTGGGTTATGGAGATAGAATGTCCCTATGACTTAATAACTAATCAACTTATAGCGCTTGTTTATGAAAGGCAGTGGATTAATACAAGTAAGGTAATCAGATTGTTACCACTTTGGATTTCTTGGCAAAAAATCTTTTGGTGTGTATAACTTATTCCTTTCTTGAGTTTGGATTTTGCTTTCATCACCTAATTTTGTTTGTTGACTGTATTGAAGTGTTGAGTTTTGTCCCCAGATTTCAGTTTGACATTTCCTAACAAACACTGGATCATTTGATAGGTAAATGACTTGTTGCTGGACAGAATCTCCTAACTGGGTATTTTTGGAATGTAATCAAGAATATAAATGTTACTTTGAGCTTCAAAGGCAATTGGAACCTGAGAGGTTTTGTTCTCCCTTAATTGTAATTCCACGGTTTGCTGCTGTGGCTGCTGTGGTCAYCAACAGAAGTTTGTGAATCCTGTTTCAGTTTTAGTCTTTGCAGATGCTCTTTAAACTTGAGTCAAAGAATCATTTAGGCTGGAAAAGGTCCTTAAGACCATAGACTCCAACCATAGATCCAGCACTGCCAAGTTGACCAATAAGCCATCTCAGCACACCACATCTACACAGCTTTTTGCACACCACAGGATGATGACTCAGTCACATGCTGGGTAGCTTGTTACAATGCTCAATAATACTTTTTCATAATGAGATGTTTCCTGATACCCAGTCTAAGCTGTCGCTGCTACGACTTGAGGCCATTTCATCTTGTCCCATCTCATCACCTGGGAGAAGAGGCTGACTCCCACCTGGCTACAGCATCCTGTCATAGAGTTTTAAAGGGTCATAGGGTCACCCGTGAGCCTCTTTTTCTCCAAGCTAAACCACCCCAGCTCTGTCAGCTGCTCCTCTGTCCCAGGGAGCAGTGCACTGTTACAATTAACTATTTTTTTTTTTCTTAAATAATTGAACAGTAATTGGTGGTACTCTGTAGCAGTTACTTGCAGCAAAAATTCTTTTTTTGGTCTAAATTTCACCTGTGAGACCCACTGGGCAKTTTTATCACTTTAAACACTTTATTCTCAAATGAGTTTTTGCTGCGAAGGGGGCAATACTCCGTACTAGGGAAAAGTGACATACATTCTGTAGAGCAGGAGATACTTAACTGGTGCCATTGGTTATGCAAGTGAACAGAAGGTACCTTTGTATAGCAGTGAAGTCATCACTGAGAAATTTGAATTTTGCCAGATACTGTAAGACAGACATTCATTTGTGAAAACTGGGAGGGGGGACGGGGAGAAGAGAATGACAAGAACAAAAATGAAAGAACTGAGAGAGATAATTAATGAGAAAAATAACAAATGATACTTATATGGGTTAGGAATAAAGGGTGATAGTGAGCAGAAGCTGGTTTTGGTTTGGAAGAAGAGATTTATCTCTGCAGAAAGTAGATTATGAGATACTTCAAGAGAAGAAAGGAGGAAAAGAGTGTTTCAACTTCTGGATACAAAGATAAACAAGTACTCTAAAAACATTCCTACAGTAGGATCTGATTTAAAGCCTATTCAAGACAATGTTTTATTTTTCATAAATTTAAATGGGTTTGGTGAATGAATAAAGATTTGTGATCACATCTGAAAGTCTGATCATAAGGGACTCTTACATAACTTTTATGGTTCTAAATTTAACTGTGGGTAAATAGATGTAATTATATCCTTCTTTTGTGTGATTCTTCCGTGATTACCTTCTTTGTGATCATTTCTCTATAATTTATTCCCTGTATTTATTGTGTTTCCTCCTTCTTGTCAAATAGGTGAGCAACCTGAAGAAAATTCTGAAAGGAATACTGGATTACAACCATGAGGTAAGAACCATTTTAAGTAATCTGCATCTACATGCCTTTTTGGTTAAGTATTTTAGTTAACTTGTTGAAGGTAAATTGTATTCTTCAAGTTAAGTTCTGATGTCTTCTTGCAAATGCTTTTGGCATATGTCATGATTCATGGCCTATTCCCTAGTCCCGGCCTTCTTTAAAACTTCTCATCTGCTTTATTGAATACTCAGGGGTTCCAGGGAAGCCTGGTGTGCAAATTCTGCCATGTAAACAGTGGATGGCTTTCTGTGTTGTGATAATGGGCTTTGTTTCTGATGTACCTGTGTCTGATTCTTTGCCTTCCTCCTCTGCARCTCAAGTCTGCCTTTTTCCTTATTTTACTCTTGAGGAGAGTGAGTAAAGAGCATTTCTATCCTTTCCCCACATTAAGATTTTAAACAAAATATTGAATTCAAGTATATTGGACTCAGCCCTTGTCATTCTCTCTTAATTTGAGCAAACTCAGCACTTAATCACTCCAGAGGAGATCAAGTACAGTATTTTTTCTTTCAGTGGTGAATCTTCAGATGAAATATGTTTTCAGTGATCTTTGAGACATATTGATCTGTACAGGTGGCAACATACATATCCATGATATGTATGTCCTAGACATTGCTTGTCTCAAAATAGTATCTTCACATAAATACTTAGGAGATGAAGTTATTTGTTAATAAACTGAAGTCTTTCAGAAAGAAAAAGGAGCTCCTCTTCAATAAATGGTTAGGTGTTGATGTTTAAATAAATGTTGAAAATTTATGATTAAGCAGGCTGGTTGTAACTGGAAATACTAAAAAGAAACAGATCAGGGTTTTTGTTATGAAAAATTAGTATTACTAAGACAAAGTCATGATAAGCTTCTTTTTGGTTGGTTAGTATGTATGATRATTAAGTCTCTGGTATGAAAACTTGACTCTTAGGCAAGTTCTGAGCTGTTTCAAACTGATTAATTTCTGTAAAGGTAATGCACATTTATAAATCTGACTGGATTTTGGTTTAGGGTTTTTTTTCTTCTGAGGCAATGCTGTGGGTGATAGCAGAGATGATCTGGATTCTACTAATGAGTTCTGCTAATGTTTTCTTCAATATGATTCCCTCCCCCTCTACTAAAATACAGATGTGTATGTGAGTTTTACCTGATGTATCTAAAAGCCTTTGAAAAATGTGTATGTTAGTGTTCATCCTTACAATTACATAAGCGTTCATCCTTAAAAATTCAGAAATTTGTATTGCATTCAGAAGAACATCTTTGAGTAGCAATGCTACATCTGCTGTCTTTGTCAATTCAAGTATGAAAGAACAAGCCTAAGTTAACTATTTATAGCATTCATGCTTTGTTATGCCTTAGTTAATCTTATTGCAGAGCTCTGCTGCTCTGGAGCTGAAACTTAATTTTTTTTGTAAACTTATTTTATATCTGTCTTTTAAAATGTTTTAAATGCCCTTCTTCATCTTAAGATAGTAATTGTAGAGTTTATCTTTCATGTTTCTATTTCTTTCAGAGCTTTTAGTGGTTCTTTTAAAATTAAATTTCTTACAATCTCTATGTCTGACCCTGTATTCACACCTTCACATCCTTGGCTTCTTCATAGTGCCTGCCAATTTGCTTTTTCCCTTCAGCTTTCTTCAACAGCAGTTTTTTTGTCAGTAACTATGAAGTCATTGTAGTGTTGTTAACTTTTACACAGCATTRTATTTGAAAGAAATTCAGGAACTACAGATCAATATGCAAATACRTACTAGGTTCAAGAAAATAGTGTATTTTACTGTATTATTGCAGTCTATATAAAACAGTAATATTTTCCATTGTGCTTGATGTATTCATGGAGTTCTTACAACCTAAAGGAAGTCTTTTTCAGCAAGAGTGAATCTGGGTCCTTTAAAATATACAGAGATTTTTAATAGAGTAGAAGTTAATTCTTTGAGAAAACTTCTTAAAAATCTTATCGTTCCACAACGCGAAACATGCCATACATAACAAGAACCAAATTACAACACTCTCCCAAAGCCCAACTGTACTAAACTTTACAATGGCTTGTTTTCTCTGTATTCTTTATGTACACTGTGATTTTTGTAAATGCCTTAACCTGATTTCTGGTTTTTTGGGTATTGCATAAAAAAGAGCGTGCAGCAAACACATGACTGATTCCCTCTATAGTCATTGTTTCCTTATTGTGTTGTATCCTTCCCTGTTTAAGAAGTTACAGTTTCTTTTTATCTGCAATTAATGTGTCAGAAATGTGTTTAATTCCAAATTTCATATTCATATTTTCAACCCTCTTTTCAGTAAAGAACGATTTAGCAGAATTGTCTAGTTCCTTCTACTGACAATCATTAGCCCTTAATGATTTTTAATGATAAATCAGATAACACCAATTGTGAGTCACATGGGCTTCTGTTTTGCATGTTTTTTTCTTTCTTTCTGCATGTGGGCTGTTTAATTACATATCATCGTACTACTAGCTCAGATTCTCTTCCATAGAACAGCTTTCTTATCTGTAAGAAGTGCCAGATATCCTTAAACTTGATGTGTGAGGCCTAGTGATCTGAGTTTTTTACTGTCTTGTATTTGTCATCTGCCAGAGTTAGGTATATGTATTGTATGGGTGAAATATTTAATTTTGTGACTTTCTAGTYGTAAGAAATGTCTTATGATACAGGAGGTGTTTTTAGTTGGATTTTAAAAATTGAATGTTCTAAATTTCATTAGCCATGTAGTGGCCTGCTTTTGTTAGCTTTCTTATCTGAAGAAAAAGAATYTTGCTAAGTGTTTATCTAGTAGTTGCTTGTGAGTTGAGACAGTCATGTTTGTCTTCTAAATATTATTTATATTAAACAGTATGATTTAAYAGTGAAGTGTTAGGTGTTAGGCAACTTAGTTTGTTTTAAAGGTGTATTCAGAACTATGTTAGMGTGAATTGCTCTTGTCAATTTTGAATCATTTTTGTATGAAATACATGGGTATTTATATGTGCAGTAATACAGCCATGCATGTACTTGGTCCTTACGCAGATTCTAGGGCAACAGATAAATGACTTCACCCTTCCTGATGTTAACCTGATTGGAGAGCATGCTGATGCTGCAGAGCTTGGGAGAATGCTTCAGCTTATTTTGGGATGTGCTGTGAATTGTGAACAGAAGCAAGGTAATAAATTTTGAAAATGGTTTTCTTGCTTATTGTGCAACTACCAAGGAGAAAAATTCTATTTCTTGGGTTTCCATCAGAAACAAATGTATTTTTTTTAATCGTGACATTATTTTGTTCTGCAGATAGTAACTGTTATTCTGTTGTAAGCTTCACTACTGTTAGAGACTCAGACCGGAACTGCATTTACTTCTAACATATATATTTTCAATTTTGGCTTGAGCTGAAAAATCAGTCTACAAAGAAAAAAATTCTCGGGCACACCTTTTAACCATTTTTTGAGGTAGATTGGGATAGTTAAGAATGGAAAAACATGTTTATTCAGTGTGACTCTTAATTTTAGAAATGCATTCAAGGCATCATCTTACTACATRTCTGAAAGCCATCAGTATGCCTGCTGCTTGGTCCAAAGATATATCTGGTGTGATCTAGGATACTGCAGTTTCTGAGATGTTTCTATGGGGTTGGCAAATAGGAAAATGTAATGCTGGCAATCATGCCTTTCTGGGCAGTAGCTGAAGGTGGAGCACAATATCATAAGGACATCAAAAAAGTCACTTCAGGCCATTTGCCAGACGATTTAATCCCACTTAAGATCCTGAAAGAGACTCCTGCCTCTCTACTCTCATGGCACTGACCATAATTCTGACCTGCTCAAATACGATAGAGACCCATTCATCTTTCTTGAACATGTCACATGGGATGTGATGAACAATGGAGGTGTTTAATAAAGTGTACCACATCTTATGTTCTAAACTTATCTTGGGTGCAGGTTCTTTATTGTTACCCAGTTACCTTAAATTATACTAAATTAGGGCCAGATTAAGGTAATGGCAAATGCAAACATATATTCTAAATACTTAAAACAGAAAACATAGTCATGTGTGGCAAAACAAGACCTTTTTTTTGCAGTATTTAAATTACAGCTGCATCAAATATCTGTTCCTCAAGATTTAACTCATTTTGGGTTTGATGGCTGCCAAGATTTCAGGCTTYTTGTCTTCCTTTTACTCGGTGCTTAACTTCTACAGCTAGTTTTCTGTTTACAGGGTTTTTTAGGTGACTACATCACTTTATTTTCTCCCTCTGAAATTACTTTAATTCTCTTAACTAGCTAGTAGTCTGGCTGTTGTATTAATTGAAACAGAGGTAATAGTTCTTCCACAAGTACATAACTAACTCTGGTTTRTTGAGCCTCCTGTCATCTCTATTTTATATAAAATTATTGTCCTTCCTTCTGATGACAATTTGTCAACATCAGGTGGGAAGTGTGTCTTATTCGTGTGTCCCCTTTACTCTTTCAATCTGGACATTAAACATGCATATTTGAAATACCAGACCAATCTAATTTTGAGTACTTTGAGTGAGATTAATCATGAGCCCTTTAACCACTTGAAGGTGACTCCTTCCCAGCATGTTTCTCACATCATTARAAGAATAAAGATGATGTTTGACTGGAAACCATATGATACAAGGGCAAGTCATTTACTCCTTGACTTAGTGTAAATGTCAGAATTTGTTCTTCTGGCCATTGTATCATCTTACAAGATGTCTCTTGTATGGCTCACATCTGCACATAGCTGAGGACTTAAAAAGTGGAGGGAGCTTAATTTGTAATGTAGTGCAGAAATAAGAACAGAAACCAAAAATGAACATGAAAACACTTCTAAATGAGGATGCTGTAGGAAGGCAGGCCATTATTGTTACACTTAGGGAAAAGGAGAACCCATGCATGGATTGTGAACTTGAAGAGCCTGAATAGTTGGGAACAAAGTGAGAAAAGGATAAAAGTAGTTATTTCAGAAATGTGAGACGCCAGGGGAGGGAAAAAAATAATGTACTTTCTTCACTGCTGTGGAGTTCAAATAAGCCAGGATTTATATCTCAACGGACTTGTGATAAAATCCTGTTGAATTTGTTAGGGTGGGACTTTGCCGGTTGATTATGGGTTTCAGTGTTGTCTGTGTCACCTAGTCATTTTGCAGGAAGGACGCAGCTTCTGACCTTACCTTCTATGGCTTGTGTTTCAGCATTGACATTTCAGAATGTTTTTATTTTCAGAATACATCCAGACCATAATGATGATGGAAGAATCAGTTCAACATGTTGTCATGACAGCCATTCAGGAGGTATGCTGGGATGCCCACAGTGTGTAAAAGTTCAACCTTTCACTCGTTTAGATAGTATGCTTTTTCCCACTTAGGAAAAACATAGAAGTTAAGAAAATAAGGGGCATAGATTTTGCCTTTTTACAGTGAAAAAATTATTATTTTTCCTTTGAAAAATCTTGCTTTATGTTAAAGAACATAATGGGTTGAATGTCCCACTTTTCTTTAAATCTAGAAGACTAAACTTCTAGATATTTTTGATACTGGGTTTCCTTTCCTTTGCCTTTCCCACCCTGTGAATCCTGAAGTGCACTAGATTGACTTTATATGGATAACCAGTTACTGTAGAATTTTGTCAAAATTTGTGCTTTCAAACTGYAAAACTCCATGAACTGTTAAAATATTTTTTTTAATTTAGTAGACAAGTGTAAAGAAAGAGAATTGGGTAACAGTTTTCTTTTGTCAGCTTTAGTGTTATGAGCATGCTAATTATATGTAATATGAACATACATGAATAATACAATAGACTGGTATATTTTTACAAGTCAGTGATTATGCTGCAGTGAGTTTTGTAGAAGTGCTCTTCTGTAGTAAATCKAAACCACAGTGTTAGCCATTGAAGCCCCCATTGACTTTTAAGGAATCCTAAGTGCCTATAAGAGAAATCCCTGTTAGTCTGTAGATGTTTACTGCAGGGCAGGCCACTAGGGAAAGCAGTGAAATCTCATTTCTTCTGAACCTGAACAAGAGAAACGAAATTCCACATTGAGCTTTAGAGCAGTTTCTCATCTCTGTAGTGTCTGAATAGAGAAAGAGACGTAAATGAACCTACAGGGGACTCTGTTCCCTGTCATCACTTTGACCAGTGCTGTATCATACATTCAGTTGTCTGTGTGTGGACTGCTGTCTATAACAYAGCAGAGAGTACTTTCGAAATGAACATCAAAAGAATCATTATCTAAGTCATCTTCCAGTCAGTGCTGTCAAGCCCCAGTTTGCTGGAATTTTGAGACATTTTACTTTTTCATAAGTTTTGTATCTGTAATATACAGTGTTTTGGTAGATTTATCTAGCATTTTTTATTAAACCCAAATTTCAGCATCACTGTGCTGAAATCACCTTGAAATAGAAAACTTACTTCTTTCTTTTGAAAATCTATTTGATTTTTTTATAAAACTCCCCTTCATTTGATAAAAGCAGCCCACAATTTTCAGTATTTGATGAATAAATTCTGAACTTCTTCAGTGTTTGTGCCCTTTCTCTGAGATGGTTAGAAGTAGAAAGAAGTCATAGGGGAAGGGTCTGTTCTTCTGGAACAGATCTTTAAAATTCAGTGAATCAAAAAGCTTACCATTCAGGTACTGGCAGAGTTCTGAGTGATTTTAATGCTGTTTTCCAAGCTGCTTAGAAATTGATGCCATTTCAGGACCAAATGACAAGCATCTCAAGTGCTTAATGAAGAGGTGAGAAAGTGTCTCAGACTTTGACATACTTTGAGAGCAGGGCCTCTCTCCATTATTTTTTGATGGGCTTGGAGTTTGTAAGAGGTCCCAGTCAGCTGGAAACTGGCAACTATTGTTCCAATTTTCWAGTAGAGAAGGAAGATACTGTCAGTTAAAGGCCTCTCTCACTTGAGTGCCTGGCAAAATTATGAAGGTCGTTGTTCTGGAAATTAGATCATAGCCAGCACAGATTGACATAAGAAAAGTCTTTAGAGGGGTGGAAGTTCATTGGATTTTGTAAGGATTTTTTTTAATTTCTTGGACTCATAGCAGCTCTTAGAATTCAAATGACTTAGAAAAAGGCATGTGTAGGAAATCAGCTATATATGCATATTTGAAAAGTTGGTATATCACCTAATGCAAACATTTCAAAGCATTTGACATTTTAGGTACTCTTTAAAATTAGGTATGTCAGAAGATCTCTCTAAGCTTACTGATGTATTACGTAATTAATTTTTCTGTTTCAGCGGAACACATACAATTTTTTTTTATGCTTCTTTGGTTATTATAAATCATCTTTGTCATGAAAGTATGTAATGAGGCACAATCGAACAAGTTTTCTCTTAATTTTTTTGCATGAAGAAGCTGATATTTCAATGGAAGAAGCAGCATTTTATGTTTTAAATTTGATTCAGTTATTTAATTTTTTAATAACTTGTGGTTCTTCACCGTTTCTTTTCTTTGCTTATTTGAATGTTTAAAATATGCCTTATGCTGCGTAAAGGTTTTATAAATTAATCAGTGTTTTTCTGTTAGTTTTTCAGTGTAGTCAAATTGATCTGATGTGTTGCCACTTAGATTCTTAGATGCTAATCTGCAYATGCAGGTATCAAAGTGCAAGTTGTGCACAAAATAAAGGATTGAATATATTAATATGCATAACAGCATTTTTTT